CCTATGGGATGCAGTACTGAGGCCCCAAGTTTATTAACTAAACAAAAAAAACTAATACGGATCATTGCGAATCTACAAAACACAGAAAGCTGTAAGCCTTACTTTAAGAAGTATAACATTTTAAGTCTGCCCTGTATCTATATTTTGGAACTATGCAAATTTGTCCAAAAACATCCAAGCTTGTACACAAAACGCGATGACATCATATCTAGAAATCTAAGACAGAGAAACAAACTAGTGCTACCAACTTCAAAACTAAAATCTCATTCATCCAGCCCATTTGCCATGTCTATAAAAGTTTATAATAAATTACCCGAATATATAAAAAACATTAAGAACGAAAAACCACGTAAAAAAAAATTAAAGCAACTACTTATAAGTAGTTGCTTTAATTTTGCTTTATTTAATTTAGTGTTACTATAGTACTTCTGAATTTTTAGAAGATAAAAATATAATATAATATAGATATAAATATAAATGTTAGGTAATAAGGAAATGCTATTCTACTAAATAAATTACAATAAAAAATTATAATAAAATTTAAAATGATTCAAATAATTTAATAAAAATTCAATTATGCTACCTATAATAATATATTAAATTTCAAAATCAATTAATAAATATTAACAATTATAATAGCCGTATTCCATATTCAATGTGTGTATGTTTTATATAATATAATGAATGTGAATATTAAATAATTATTTAGCAATAATAATAATAAAACAAAATAAATGTTCCTCCTTCATAATATTGCTGTACCCATGGGGGTCTATAGAGATACCATAACTATGTAACACCTTTTGTAACCTATGGAATGCAATAAAGTTATTGAGTATTGAGTATTGAGTATAAATCTGCTAGCTAGTTTTGATATATGGGGGAGCCATTGAAGCTTTGCGTCCAGTGTGATTCCAAGAAAAATGGTGGTATCAACAAGACTCAGTTCCTCCCCATTTAAAATTACATTAGTATTGACATGTCTAACATTAGAAGTTACGAATTTCATACATTTAGTTTTAGTTCCATTCAAATGCAAATTATTAACATTAAACCAGTTAACTAACTTAGCTATAGCATTATTTGCTTCGTCGTAATTTAATAACTGTCGTTTTAATTTGAAAATTAATGAAGTATCATCAGCAAACAATACGATATCATGGTTATCCCCTACTATGTAAGGTAAGTCATTAATATATACAAGAAACAGAAATGGGCCGAGAATTGAGCCCTGAGGCACGCCCATTTGTACAATCGACCTGGAAGAACTCATACTATTAATGACAACTTTTTGCGTTCTGTCACTTAAATATGAAATAATTAATTTAAGCGCATCGCTTCTTACACCGTAGTGTTGAAGTTTCCTGATTAATGTTTCATGGTGAACACAATCGAAAGCCTTGGATAGGTCACAGAACACACCCAAAGCATCCTGTGAATTCTCCCATGCATTAAATATATATTTAATCAGTTCAACACCAGCATCAGTTGTCGAGCGACCCTTTGTGAAACCAAATTGATTTTTATGAAGTAAATTATTTACATTAAAAAATTAACAAAAATTTTACTAAGTGTTGGCAGTACAGAAATAGGTCTAAAATTAGCGGGGTCCAATTTACTACCAGATTTAAATAAAGGTATTACTTCACTGTGCTTCATTAAATCAGGAAACACACCAGATTAGATACTAGTATTAAAAATAATAGATAGTTGAGGTGCGATTGTATCTATTATAGACGCAATAACTTTAATAGAAATCCCCCACAGATCGGCGGTTCTCTTAATATCAATAGTCTTAAAATATTTTACAATATCTTTTGATGACACTTTATGAAATGTAAAATTCTTTGTACGACACATGCCATTTCTACAGTTCGCTCAACAGAGAGGCTCACAATATCTTTACGTTCTTTACATGATAATAATTTACTAGCTAAAATTAAGGAGTCACTAAAATTGTTTCTCTATTGAAAGAACTGACCACCTGGTGATTACTGAAGTTAAACATTATATTATGAGCTTTTAACCAATGTTCAGTAATACATAAAATATGAATATTGTTGCTATTTAAGAACAATTCAATTTCTAGATCTTTGCCTATCACGCCTTGTATATTCTGATGCACCGGGTGTAAACAATTTTTATTATCATTTTGTGGAGTTATGCAATTGCAACTATTAAGGATTTGTAACATTCTAAATTATTTAAATTATTATAACTGCTAGAGATTACCTTTATTGTCTTATTTTCTAATTTAAATTACTTGCAACGGATTCCAAATTGCATGTCAAATCATTATGCTGCTCAGTAGGAGCAGATGTCTGGGTAGCCAAGTCCTTGACTGAGTTAATATATAAATAATAAGATAGCACATTTGCTATCTGTCTTAAATTATATTTGGATAGGTAATACCTACCTGTAGTCAAAAATTTCTTAATTAAATTATTAATATCTATTAAATTAATTCTATTGGTATAATTGTTGGTGAAAATAAGGAGTCGTTGCTATTTACACATACTGTCCCCGACGGACATGGTATGGAGCGTTGATTCTCAATCTGATGTTTTATTAAGGAGTCAAAGCGCTTCTCATTGTATTTACATGACTTTACCAGATCATTCATGGCCAATATGTGTTCTTTTATCTCAACCTGAGCCGATGCATATTTATTTGAGATAATTTGTAAGGAGTTTTTAAGCGACAAAACTTCTGAATTGAGACACTCTATTTCAGTCTCATAACAGTTTTTCATATTTTCCACCTCAATTGAATGTAATTTAAGTTTATTAATTAATTCATGCTTTTCCGTAAGGAAATTAATACAAAAAATTATATAAATATATGTAAATATATTTATATAATTTTTTGTATTAATTTTTGTTTTAATTCACTTTTGTACTTTCCTAACATATTTATTAATTTTTACGTATTTCTTTAATTTTCTTCTACTGCATGTAATCCTTTCTGCTGTTCTTGACGTGACAAAATCATCACCAGTCTAATCGATCGTTGTGGAGGTTTTTGAAGATTTACATACTATGAGCTCATTGAACAGACTTTGAGTTTGGGACACTTTCAATTCATCTAAGTATTGTTTTAATTGCACAATCTGCTCATTAGCCTCACTTAACTGCAATGGTACTTATTATATGTTTCTTTGGTGTTATTTTAAAATAACAACTCATTTGACAGACACGCCGTTTAAATTTCATCAAGTGAAGCTTATTGGTAGGTACTTATGTTATAAGTTGATTGGTAATATAAGCTACATTTACACGACACATTCTTTCCCTTTCTAAGAATGTGTCGTGTGAAGCTAAGCAGCTATTGTCAGGCCACTCTAAAACTTGGTCCAATTTATGATATTAATTATTAAAAAGAGAAAAGAGGCCTGTAAGAGTAGACCGCCTGTCTCAAAATCATTGTGTTTATCATAATCTATTAAAATTTTAGATTGTATTTTAGAAAAACTAATAAGTAAGACGTTTGATATAAGTACTTATTGTAATAATGGCAAATTGTATGCAGCGATTGCTACAGTAAGAAAAAGCAAGGTGTGACTCCGCCACCTTTTTCAAAACCTAATCCTAATTTAAGTGGTATGTATCTTTTCTAGATTTTATTTATTTTCTTTTAAACTGTAAACATTAAAAGTTATAATTGCAATAAAATAGATACATCACTTAATGGTAGAGATACATCATCATCAAAGGCTGTTAACTATATTGAACGTATAGCTTTGACCAGTCAAGATTCGGCGATAGTTTCAGTACCTGCTTTGTATTATAATTCTCCTGATAGCAAAAATATTCACGAAGTGGACTCTGTTTATGAAGGCACTGTAAATTTTATAATCTGTATTTATGTAGGTGGTTATGTGTAATCAAAACATAACAGATGATATTTATTAAATTAAATATATTTTAGGTAGTGCCAAAGAAGATAATCAATCTATAGTGCCACAAAAAGGCAAACGTTCTGAATCCTCATCAAGCAATGACTCATCATCGAGTAGTTCTAACAGCAGCTCGACGTCTTCATCAAGGAAGGTGGGTATTTAATATCAATATATTTTTATCAGATTATACCTACAACAACAAACGAATTTCTGAAAATCATGCTATATTCGTATTATTTTAACGATTTTATAGCAATATATTACAATTTCTTAAAATTATATTTTGAGATTAAAAATAAACGTTTGCCTTATTAAAAATATAATTTTAATATATAACATTAACGTTTTTCTTAAAAAATAAATTAAAAGATACATATTTCTAATTAACATAATAGACAAAAATAGAGATAATTAACATAATAGATAGAAAATAGTATTTTACAAGATTATACAACATAAAAAGCTTAACTTAAGTAAAAAAAATACTTGCTAAATCGCCGCCGTCTGTTGGTAGTGTGCCCAGAAGACTGGCTGAGTTACCTCGCTGTATTGCGAGGCTGATCCGCTGACCAAAATATCTTCTAGCTTTTGGGTCACCAGAGACAGTGACAAGGCGTGATGAGATATCTCTGTACAAACGTCTTGCTTCAGGACACCACGGCCCCAGCGTTTCTATACCAAAGAGCACAAACATGTATCCGGGGGCTATATATTTACGCCGCTTGTTAGACTCGGAAACAGCAGCAGCAGTGCCTGCCTTTTGTGCAGTCGCCGCAAGATGTAATGGCACTAATGTGTCAACACAAGTTGCATCCCATACTAAGGAGCGCCCATTTTCAATGGAATGAGCGTCATTACATCAGGCCTCTTGCCATCGTCCCGCAATATACCGTTTAGCTCTAAAATTGCAGGTACGTTGGCAGTGGTTAAGGATCGTCGAATGACGTCATTAATGGCTGCATGACGAGGGATGCGACCAGCACTCCGCTGGCATGCCAGGCCATGGTGGCCAAGAATGTCGACCTCTTTACCACAGCGGTAGCGATGGAGCTCATTGATTTTTAAACCCAATCTCAGGCTGATAGAAAGTGAGAAAGCGCATTCAACCAATACCCGACTCCTTCTCCACAAATGCTAGAAGACGAGCTCGCTCTGTAGGGTTTGCACAGTTTTCTAATAGGTTTTTTTGAACCTGGATACTGAGTGGCTCATCCCAATGCCTCTGCGAAGCTGGGTTTGTCGGAAAAACTTGGTCCGGCCCGGCCTTATTGATCCAGGCTTCCTTGGCCTCAATCAAGCACGAGACCTCTACATCACTGAGTGTTGGGTTAGTAACTGTTCCAATGAGGTCTAACGTGCTATGAACTGAAGACAAGAAAACCGGAAGTGCTACGCTGGAAACTCTTCTGATGCCTAGACCACCAAGTCTAATCGGAAGTGTGGCCTGAACCCAGGAATTTTCATTTAATGGACAATTTATAATTTCTATCATAGTTTTGCTTATAATATCATCGAGGCGATTTAAAAATGGGACGTGCATCCAAAGAGTAGAACACCGCAGTACGTACTTAAAATTTGGCACAAAAAGACAGAATTTTAGTATGGCATATGCCATGTGTGGGCCAATTTCTTTTAGACGTCTGGATGACTCCTCAAATTTTAAAATCTGTTCATTCACAAAGCATTGAAAGGGGTCATACAGTTTGCTGTTAATTATTTTTATATTTGGGGCTAGGGAGTTAAATTTGCTAACAATTTGATCTTTTTCTGAGGTGGGTAAATTCTCTTTTACAAAAACTTCGCATTTAAAAAAAATTCAATTTGATGCCAATAGAACTGAAAGTAACAATAAGACTGGTTAATTCGTCAAGCACTGAGTTCGCTTCGCCTCCCAGTGTTCCATCATCTAAATACCAGACATTGAATTTTGATTTGAGACCAGAAATAAATGGATGAATTGCCAGACTAAAAATTGCCGGACCAAGCGGGTCACCCTGCTGGCAACCAACAGCGGATAAAATTTGGTGTTTTTGTACATGAGTGAAGATGGTGAACTGTAACATTGCGAAAGGTAATGGTATATGGGAATATTTTGTTTAAAAATTGAATGACACATGTAAGTATCATGTGTATGATCATGTTTATGACCTCTGGCTACGATTAAGTCAGTCGAGTAAATATTACTTTGCAGATTTTTCCCCGGATGATACTCAAGTAGAACAGTTAAAAAAAGCATATTATTTTGATTATGAAGCGCTTAGCATGGCTGTGCCAGAAAACTTAACTGATCTTACTGATACTGACATCTCTGATAAATAAACTATTGATGAAAATAATTTAGTAAAATTTAAAAAAATGATTGACGAAGTTAATATAATTATTTAGGTTCTTGATTTATTTTTAATGTTAAAATCTTTGAACTGTTGCTGTAAAATTATGTTTCATAGGTATTTCTGGAGGAACATTATCGTCTCCTACGATACTTCAAGCAAATAACAATGAAAATGTGCAAAACCAACAAATGGATATGCAAATCTCATATAATTTTCAAGACGATTCTGGTACGATAGCTAGAAATACTATATTCCATGATTATGCTAAGTTTGTTAAGCATAGTTTTTATATTTTCCTCGAATTTCTAACTATACCTATATCTGGTCTCAATATTATTTTTACTTAATTCTAGGTAAAGAAAATCGGAAGCCAAATTCTCATTCGAACTTGAACGAAGCTTCAGAGTTTTCTGCAGATAGCGGTGACGAATATCATCCACCAACATTTTCAAGGTGTGAGAGATCATCATCGACGTGTTCATCTATAGTTTTTTTTTAAGTAGTACAACATCTAAGAAAAGAGGAAAGAAAAGAGTGAGAAACCAACACAAGTGGAAACAAAATATCAGAAAAACTTTAGGAAAAGAGTTTGTATCTAAAAAGGACAATAAAATAGAAGCTAAACATGAGATCCCCGTGCCATAATTGTAAATTTTCCTGTTGCGATATTTTCAAGAGATGAACGTCAACAAATATTTGATACCTATTGATCTTTAAGATCTTTGCAACGTCAAAGAGACTTTCTTAGCGCTTGTATAAGCATTAAAAACATAGTATGCCATTGTGTAAAAATCCAGCAAAGCCTAGAACGCCTAGTAGTTTGTTTTCTTTGCAAAACATTTTTATCAAACACCCTTGTGCTATCCACAACGGACATTACGTACAGTAATTGAAGCAAAATTCTCATATTCTGGAATTGTGCTGACCGATGAAAGGGATAAACCTGGTAAACAACCAAAATCAGATCCACAAGTGATAGAATCAGTTCGTAAGCATATCAATACAATCCCAGAAATACGAAAAGAAAGCCATTATTTATGTGCAAATACCAGCCGTGTGTTTATTGGTGATGGATTGCAACCTTGGCTGCTTTACATCGTGATTCGTGACTATGAATGCCAGCGCAGAAGTGCTGGTGAAGAAGCGGTTTCTCCGTCAGCCACAGCCAGATTTTTAATACGGAATATAATATTTCGATCTTTATTCCAAAAAAGACCGATGCAATTTTAGCGGATCTTACAAAAATGCAGAAGGGGACAGGAAAATGAACTTGAACAACGGCATATAAACCACCAAAGGGAAAAGGTGTTAAGTCGTACAGAAAAGGCAGCAAAGATTGCATTTTCGCGGGAAGCACAGAGCGAAGGCATAGTGGCGATATATGACTGTCATAACAAGCTCAGTTACCAGTGCCCATCGGCAACTCGGCAGCGTTTAACTATAAATCAAAGTTAACGAGTTCCTACTTAATTTAGTTGTTAAATTATTAATATTAAATTGCTACGTTATTCATTATTATATTTCAGATAACAAATATTAAAAAAGGATTCAACAACTTGTTACTTTTGGCACGAAGTTCCTAGAGCACGTTGCTGAAAAGCATTCAAACTCGAATATTATTTTCTATAGCGACAATTGTTGTGACCAACAAAAAAAAACATGTACGTACTCGTATAAAAGTGTTGATAGCGAATGTTTTGATTAATTTATTTAATTATTATAATTTCTAATAAATCTGGTTTATTTTTTTATATGTGTGCAGCATGTTTAAAAAAATTATGCTGTCGCAAAACTTGCCATAAATTCTGTGTGCCACAAGTTTTTAATAAGCGACCACAGTAAAAATGAAGGTGATTACGTGCATTCTTGGATTGAAAAAACAATAAAAAGAGCCAAAAAATTCTGGACCCATCTACGTGCCAGATCAATATGTTAGTTTGATACGAGATGCTAAAAAAAGAGGGAATCTCTTCATTGTCCAGAAAATGCCTTTCAGTGACCTTTACGTCTTGAAGGCATTGGCTGACGTGCAAGCAATTAATTTAAAAAAAATGTAATGGGTATACATTGAGTTATAATGTACTTACGTAGTATACATAAATGCAATCGCTACATTAAACAATGACTTAAATATGATTCATGAGTGGAGTCAATCATATGGCCTAAATGTCAATCCTAAAAAGTCACAGGCTATCATTTTTGGTAGTCAGAGCTTTATCTCAAGAATTGACTGGTTCTCCATACCACCTGTTTTATTCGATGGGGTTGTGATCCCTTACTTTGACAATGTCAAAAATCTTGGTGTTTACCTTGATAGTTCCTTAAATTGGAAACGCCAACTGAATGAGGTAAGTAAGAAAACCTTTGTCGCTCTTAGTTCACTGCGTCGCCTTCGATCATTTCTTCCCATTCCTACAAAAATTATGCTCGCACAGTCTCTTCTACTTCCGATTCTCGACTATGCTGACGCAAGCTATGTAGACATAACTAAAGACCAGCTAACTAAGCTTGAGAGACTTCAAAATACTAGTATTCGGTTCATATTTGGATTGCGCAAATTTGACCACATTTCCCAATTTCGCTCACGTCTCAAGTGGTTACCTATCCAATTTCGCCGGAACATGCATATTCTTTCTATTCTGTACTGTGTCTTATTTCACCTTTCTACTCCTCCTTATCTTAAGGAGAAATTTAGTTTTGTTGGGCTTCCAGGGGAACCTTTACGCTCTTCAAGAAAACTCATTTTAAGGGTACCAACTCACAATACATCTTTCTTTAATAAATCTTTTACTGTACAGTCTATTAAGCTCTGGAATGCCCTACCTTTGTATTTACGCGAAGCTCAGACTATTGTAGTCTTTAAGCGACTTCTTAAAGAGCATTACTTGTCTCAATCGTTTGAAAATCATTAGGATAAATTATGTGCTTATGTAGTTCTGTATTTATTTGTTTATGTTATTGTTAGTGGTATATATTTGAGGATATATGTATGTATATATGTGTATATATATGTGTATGTGTGTATATGTATGTATGTATATGTATGTATATGTATATATATATGTATATATGTGTGTGTATGTTTATGTATATACCTATGTATATGTGTATCATATTTTTTTAATGTATTAGTTATTTACTTATATGTTATTTTATTGCATGTATTGATATTATATTAGGTATATTTATATTGCACCACCTACCTAGTACTCACTGTTTTATTCCTTTACACCTTTGGTTGCCTGGAAAAGATCGCTATGTAGCGATAAGGCCGCCAAATTGTACATGAAATCTGCTCTCTGTTATGTTCTGTAATTTGTTTGTGGTGTGCAATAAAGTATATTCATTCATTCATTCATTCATACATAATAACTCAATGTGGGTATACAAAAAAATTGCTGAGTTAACAATGAATAAATTCAATAAAAATAGTGACTCTTATGAATTTAAAACACCTTTTGAAGGAAAATGGGTTCAAGCTAAGCTGAAATTGAAATAATACTAGTTTTTTACGGAATTTATCGCGTATATTTAACTTTTTAAATACCCGACGTTTCGAACGCTTTACAGCACTCATGGTCACGGGCGGGACTGAGATGTTCAACGTCCTGTAAAGCGTTCGAAACGTCGGGTATTTAAAAAGTTGAATATACGCGATAAATTCCGTAAAAACTAGTATTATTTCAATGTGTATTGTTCGCGTAAATATAAGAAATTATTAAGCTGAAATTGTCACGAGCGCGAAAAAAAACGTTACAAATAAATTTTAAAGCAGCATATAATTAAAAAATAAATATTTTCGATTAAAAGAAAAAAGATTCGTTACAATTAGTTCATTCTAACATAGTGCCCAGCTATTATGAAGGATTTTATAACGGTCCTTAATATTCAACGTCCATATGTCATAGTTAACCGCGGTTACCATAGATTAAAATTTAACTTTTGTTCCGATCTATACAGTATGAACTTATGGTATCTTGAAGTCTTGCAGTTGTATGCTTGGGTTGGGATTTAATTTTATTTATTATAGGATCCCAAGCAGATGGCAGCACCCAGCCATCTTCTCTATTGAAATTAGGATGTTTTTTGATTTCAATAGCCTCGCGAATCATCCTTGGAAGGAATCGGTGTTCTTTAGCGAGGATTTGTTGTCTATCAA